TTGAAGACTGACTGAGAACAGGAGGTCAACTAACAGGTTGAAGGGAAGGGAGCGTGTGTGTCTTCCCCTGCCCAAATGATGCTGAACAGGCTAATGACAGGCAAATTTGAATCAAGCATGAATTCAGGAAATCAAGCTCCTTTTCCAGAAAAGTGGGCAAAGCATCTGTAGCTTTCCCCAGCCCAAGTTCAAATTTGAGTCCCCACTGCACTTGATGATTTTGAGAGTTCAACAGAGGAGGATATTTGCCTTCCTAGCCTGGAACTAGCTTCTTTTTTCACTGAACGACCTGATGCTGGCAATAATCAATTGACCATCACCCAGTTCTGCTCCATTCAAAACAGAAATCAAGAACAGCTGACCACCATTCCATCCAACCCTACTCATCTTTCTCTTTCAGAAATAAGATCTTGGTGATAGCTATTGTGTTCCAGGTCTGCCTGGGCTGCTTCCTCTGCTATTGTCCTGGGATGCCCAATATCTTCAATTTTATGCCCATACGGTAAGAACTTGTACACACTGGTGTTCCAATGAGAGAAAACCACTTCTCAAAGGTTCTAATGAAGAACATGCTGCAGAACAGAGCAAGGCTAGTTAGAAAAGCCCACAGCCACCTCTGTATTTGTCTCCCCAAAACCTGAAACACATGATTATGTGTAGTTTGTTTTGTGTTGCATTGTGGTTTGCACAGTATGGTTTTTGACACCGTGCAGTATGGGGATCCAAGCAACTCTGGCTTCAACAAAACATGATTAAACAAACCAGTGTTCTCTTTCTGCATTCTTGCTTCTTAACTTTCCATTGCAGTACACCACTCCATCACACTTAGCATAGCTATAAATCTCAGCTCTCCAGACACTTTACCCTTTACCTGGGAACTGGTTAATTCAGCAGAAGGCTCCCAGACACAACTCAGCTAGTCTCTACTAAACACACAAAAGACAAAAAATGAAGCAAAGAGACAGAGATTTGTCCACTGCAGTGCATAGACATCAATGACCATACTTTTATATTTGATTTATAGCCTACCCTTTATAACAGGAGTTCAAAGGAGCCTACATAGGCTACTTCCTCCTATTCTTTTCCCCAAACAATAACCCTGAGGTAGGTATTGTTGAGAGAGGAACTGGCTCAGAATCATCCAGGGAGCTTTCATAGCTGAACGTAGACTAGAACTTGGATCTCTCCACTCATAATCCAACACCTTCACCAACTGTACCACACTGGTTCTCTATCGCTCTATATTCTTTATAATTCAGGATTTAAATCCTAGGGTTATTTTCCTCCTTCCTTCACAAATCTCTTGCTTCTTTAGGTAACTCCACCTCAGGTCTTGGAAATTCCTGCTCACCTTGCTATAACTGACCATAAGTACATCCATATATTTTAAAAATGCTTATTTTCCTCTAGCTGCACTTCCATTGCCTATCATTTCTCCTATCCCATGCCATCAATTTTTTAGATTTTATATTCAGCAAAGCAGGAGTGGCCTCTTTACACTTTGCATGTCACCTTATAACAACAGTAAGTACACACACATGCAAAGACGAGGAACCAAAGAGTTATAAGGCTACAGCTTAGAGAATTAGACCTCCTGATCTAATTCTCCCCTCTGGCTGAAAGGGGGAAAACAAATCCTCTCCCAAGAGCAGACTTCCTTGAAACATCTGCAAGAATACAACCAAGCTCAGAGAATCCCAGGGACTCCACAGTTCAACCCTGAGTACATATATTCTCTTCTATTGAGACTTCCTTCAGCTCTGCTCAGCACCAAGGACAGCAGCCATTAGAGTCCTAGTTACAGCTGCCCCTTTTTCCAGTTACCTAGCCAGAAAAACACAGATCAAAGACTAAAAAAGCGAAGCTTTGGGGCCCTATTTGTTTTGCAGAACAATGCTCAATTCCTGTCTGTCTCAAGCCACTCTACTCAAAGACAATTCAGCTCATCAGAATGACTTTAGCAAAGTTATGTCAAGCTTAACTTTGTCCATTCCCTTGTTCCCTTTCCCTTCTAGATTCCAGTGGTGGTTAGTGCCTCTACCATTTGGCATGCTCATCTTTGTGTATGATGAAATCCGAAAATTGGGAGTCCGGAGACACCCTGGAAGTAAGTTACAAGAATGGGTAAGGAGAGGAAGGAGGCAAGTTGATGTAAGGTTCGTGGAAGGGTTGATTCAGACATCTTCTACTGTGTTTCCCAATCTTGGATCACTCAGATGGTATTGTACTACTAGCAAGAGTCAAGGCTACCCAGTCTGCCTTTCCATCATCTGACAAATTGTTATAGGTCTCAATGATAATCATCATCCTTAACCTGATCCCAATGTTGTTTCTTTCCTCCAGGTTGGTGGGACAAAGAACTTTACTACTAAAGATGGAACTCTGGGGATGGTACGTCCCCACTGGCACTGTTTGTGCTGCCTGGGCTGCTCCCTGTGGGTGCAAAATACTACCAAGAATTTGTGTTCTTCATTAACTCTATGTTCAACAAAGCTTGCTGCATTTTTTACCCTTCCTATGACGACGTCCCATATCCCATACATCCTGCTCCAACTACTCCAGGACAAGAATCTACTCATCATCAAGAAAATATTTGGGAATGCTGATATGCTAGGGGAGATGGGGCTGTGCCTGAGATGGCAGCCAAGTATAGAAATTAGTACTAGTGTAAAGCTCTACATTCTATGAACTACACAATGTTTTTTTTTTTAAAAAAAAAAAGCATAGCAAGTTTCAACCCCCCATGATAAATCTCAAAGAGTGTGTAAACAAGGCAGTATAAACTCCAGGGAGGAACAAGGGCAGGTTGAG